CCTCCTCCTCCTCCTTCTCCTCCTCCTCCTCCTCCTCCTCCTCCGCCTCCTTCTCAGCATCATCATCATCATCATCATCATCATCATCATCATCATCATCATCATCATCATCATCATCATCATCATCATCATCATCATCATCATCATCATCATCATCATCATCATCATCATCATCATCATCATCATCATCATCATCATCTCCTCCTCCTCCTCCTCCTCCTCCTCCTCCTCCTCCTGCTCCTCCTCCTCCTCCTCCTCCTCCTCCTCCGCCTCCTCCGCCTCCTCCGCCTCCTCCTCCTCCTCCTCCTCCTCCTCCTTTGGTCGTCTATGGCCCCGGGGGGAACCATGCAAGGCCAGGGAGGGAGGGTCGGCCACCCAACTCGCACGCCCCCCTCGTGCCTTCCCTGTCCTGCCCTCCTCCGTCGGCGGCATTCCCCCACCCCCGACGCCACGATGTGTTTCAGAGCGTGGACCCTTTTTGAGGTCTTCACCCCTTCTCCTCCTCGTCCTCTCTCCGCTCCCAGCATAAGCCATGGCAGTCAGTTTCTTCCCCCAGCCACACGCTGGGCCATCAGATTGTAAACTGCCCTTCCTTTGTGCCATGGCGGACACACGCCTCGGGCCAGCGGCACTGCTTTGGCCGACGTGTCGTGCAGACACGGCGTCAGTGCTTGATTAATTGACCCCTTCCCCAGGACCAGCCTGTTCATCCTGAGTCGTTGCTGTTGACGGTCCCGGGGCCCAGCGAGGGCCCTCGGAGGCCCAAAATACCTAAAGTCAAGGCTTCCCAGATGGCGTCGGAGTAGACGGACGGGGTCGGAGAATTGTGCTGCATCGTCGATACATCGGCGATGCATCGCCGATGCGGCTTGATGTGGAGCCCGATTTGCTCCACGCCGACGTCGCCGATGCATCACCAACGTCGCCAGTGCATTACCGATGCATCGCCGATACATCACCGTTGTATCAGCGATGCGGCGCGATCCTCCGACCCCATCTACTCCGACCCCGTTTAGGAGGCCGCTACAAAAATCATTTGTCGTGATTTTTGTGCCATGACTCGAGGGGGTCTGGGTTTCGGAGCTCTGCGCGGATTTCTCGGATCGGCGCCGGAGCCCTTCTCCCTGGCGCGCGGGCCGCCTGGGGGATCCGCGCGGAGCTCCGATGGTTAACGCTTACGCGTAAGTCGGGCACGTCCCTCTACCGAAGGAATCTTCGAGAGTCAGTAAAAAAATGATCCTGGCGAAGGACCCCGACCATGAGCAGCTGTGGGTACCGCAATTGTGAATAGCTTCTTTTGTGGAGCTCCCTATGGGTACTGGGTGAGGGACGCATGCGGGCGGTAGCATTGGGGCCTTCGGTGGAGCTCCCTATTGGGCCACGGAGCGTTGTACTGAGTGGGGGGGACGCATGCGGGCGGTAGCATTGTGGCCGTCGGTGGAGCTCCCTATGGGGCCACGAAGCGTTGTACTGGGTGGGAGTGACGCATGCGGGCGGTAGTACTGGGGCCGTCGGTGGAGCTCCTTAGGGGGCCACGAAGCGCTGTACTGAGAGGGGAAGGGCATGCGGGCGGTAGTACTGGGGCCGTCGTTGGAGCTAACTATGGGGCCACGAAGCGCTGTACCGAGTGGGGGGGGCGCATGCGGACGGTAGTACTGGGGCCGTCGTTGGAGCTCCTTAGGGGGCCACGAAACGCTGTACTGGGTGGGAGGGATGCATGCGGGCGGTAGTACTGGGGTCGTCGTTGGAGCTCCCTATGGGGCCACGAAACGCTGTACTGGGTGGGGGGGACGCATGCGGGCGGTTGACCTGGAACCTTCGGTCGAGCTCACTATGGGGTCATGAAACGCTGTACTGGGTGGGGGTGGGGCGCATGCTTCAGTGGAGCTCCCTATGGGGCCACGAAGCGTGTGAGGGGTGTGCCGAAATGGGTGTGGGAAACGATTGCGGGCGGTGGCACGGGGGCCTCCCGTGGAGCCCCCGATGGGGCCACGAAACGTGTGAGGGGTGTGCCGAAATGGTTGTGGGAAACGATTGCGGGCGGTGGCACGGGGCCGTCGGTGGAGCTCCCTATGGCATGGGCCCACGAAACGTGTGAGGGGTGTGCCAAATTGAGCGTGTAGGACGCACGCAGGCGGTCCCACTAAAGGTTTCGGTGGAGCTCCCGATGGGGCCACGAAATGTTGTAATGGGCGGGTGGAAATGGAGCTCTTCATGGGGCCACGAAACGTTGTATTGGGTGGGTGAAACTGCCAAATTGGTTGTTTCGGGACGCAAGCTGACGGTTGCACTGGGGCCTTCGGTGGAGCTCCCTATGGGGCCACGAAACGCTCTACTGGGTGAGTGAAACTGCCAAATTGGTTGCTTCGGGACGCAAGCAGACGGTTGCACTGGGGCCTTCGGTGGAGCTCCTTATGGGGCCACAAAATGCTTTACTGGGTGAGTGAAAATGCCAAATTGGGTGTTGCGGGACGCATGCGGGCGGCATTGGGCGAATGAAAATGTCAAAGTGGATGTTTCGGGACGCATGCGGGCGGTCCCATTGGGGGCTTCGGTGGAGCTCCCTGTGGGGCCACGAAGTGTTGTACTGGGTCAGTGAAAATGCAAAATTGAGTGTTTCGGGACGCATGCGGGCGGTAGCACTGGGGCCGTCGGTGGAGCTCCCTATAGGGGCCACGAAACGTTGTACTGGGTATGTGAGAATGCCAAATTGCGTGTTCGGGGACGCATGCGGACGGTTCCACTGGGGGCTTCGGTGGAGCTCCCTATGGGGCCACGAAACGCTGTACTGGGTGGGTGAAACGCAGGGAGAGGCAGGAGGGAGGAGGAAGGAGGGAGAGAGGAACGCGGGGACCGTCTCTTCAAAACGAAGACCCAACACCACAGGATGGTTGGGAAAAGTATGGTAACGATTTGTCGTGCTCTCTTGGCTGTGTTCGATTATTTTTTGATTTGTTTCAATTTGTCTTGCAAAATCCGCCTGTAGGAGGCCATGCCCGACCTAAGCTTGCGCCGCTGTGCACCCAGACACGATCGCGTTGTGAAAGAGTCACGGCCGTCGTAGCTTTTGTCATGACTCGAGGGGGTCCGGGTTACAGTGGAAGCCCGTGCCAAGAAACACCTTGCTTGCCTCCAGGGTTCCCTGGGTTTCCTGGGCTTCGATCGTTTTGCGATGGAACGCGTGACGCTCCCACACCAAAAACCAAAATGGATGTCCTGGGGTCCCAGGGTTGGGCTTCTTGTGGCAGGTTTCTTGTGGTCGAGCTCCTGCTGCACGCCGGAACTCGACGCTGCCAGCCTCGAGGTGATCCCTGTCTCAGCGATCCCTATCGCAGGGCTTTTTGTGGAAGGCCTCGTGCGGTCGAGCGCCCGCTGCTCGAGCAGGGGATCGTCTACAGGAACGATCCCCAACTTGATTCTCTCGCCGAGCCTGCGACGAAGACGTGGAAGGCCCACAGATCTGCGAGCATGCTCCGCATGGCTCGTTGATTCGACGGGGAAATCCTGGGTAGTCGAAGGAGATTGGATTGGGCCCCAAGGGCCAATCTGGCCCGGCCAAACTGGATGATTTGGGTTCTTCGCCAGACTGGATTCGCGTTAGCTCCCACGCCAGATTGCCCCCGTTTGCCAGATGGGGCCTGCCAGAGTGGCGCCAGATTGGCTTCGACTACCCAGAAATCACGTCTGGGGTTCACCAGTTCTGCAGTCGACCCCCCTGCTCGAACTGCAGCTGCCGGACCCGCAGGCTCATGGAGCTCATGGCGGCGGGCAGCGGCGACGAAGCCCACGGCGGCGGCGGTGCGCCCGCGAGCGCCGCGGGCACCTCGCCGCCGCGCGCCGCCGCCGGGGGCGGCCGAGGCCGGCAGCCGCCGCCGGGCGCGGCGGCGTCGGAGGCGGGCGGCTCGAAGAGGGGGGCCCGACTCGGTCACGCGCAGAGGATCAAGGAGCATCGAGGAAGGTCGGGGAGGGGTCGAGGAGGATAAATGACCGGCCCGAAGAGGGGGACCTGACTCGGCCACGCGCAGAGTATCGAGGAGTATCGAGAAGGATCGAGGAGGATCGAGCTGGCTGCCCGGCTCTGGGGGTGCACCAGCATGTCGTCGCCGTGGCGCTGCCGGCCCTCTCTGGGCGGCAGCAGCTTCTGCTGCACGGGCTGCAGCGCCTTCTCTCCCTTGGGGGGGAGGGCGGGAGGGTCGGCCACGCGCAGAAGGGGGTGGGGAGTGGGGGGGAAGGCTTCTTAGAAGCACCCCTACTTCTCAGAAGGCGCGATTTCGGGCCTCTGGGGGCCATAAATGGGCCTGATGGATGGGGCCGTCTGGGGGTCTGAGGTGGCCCAGCACTGGTTCGGGCCAGCAGGAAGAGCGGGCAGGTTCGAGGTTCTGGGCTCGGAAAGGTGTTTGACATTTTTTCCGCCTCTGGGGGCCAGTCTCGGGCCCAGGGACAGTGAAAAACGGTTCCAGGGTGAACAACTGCACCAGATGGGCCCGGGGAGAGATCCAGGGACCGATTTTGACCGCATTGGGCCTCATCCACCCCTCCGGACCAGCTCAGATTCCCCAGCCGCCTCCAAGCTTGACAGACGGGGCTGCTCGGGTCGGCGCGTGGGTTTGCGAAGGGGAGAAGGGGGGGGGCTGTCAATGGTACGGGCTGCGCACCAACAGCCCCCGCAGGTTTGGTACCGGCTGGCCTCAGCAGGCCCCCCGAAGAGTCCCAGTTGGCCTCAGCAGGCCCCTCGAGCAGGCCAGGGTGGTCTTACAGTCAGCCCAGATTAGTAGGCCGACCCTGCCGAATCAAGGGTACCCTAGTGTCCTGTGTCTCGCGACCCATGCCTTCTGCATTCCTATGGCGACGTGGCCCTCGGAAGGGTCTTGTGTCCTCTCGCGTGGCCCGTCCAATCAAGTCCGAATGCAACACATCAGTCATGGGGCGCGGAACGACCCTGAGGCGTCGCCAGAGGCGGCGCCAGGGTGTTGCCGTGGCCTGTGGATGCCAAGCTAGACAGTATCTGGCCAACCCTGGCTTACAAGTGGGTTACAAGGGCCATGAGATGCTTAGGCGGTGAACGATCCGGGCTGAGTGGGCTCTGTCCACGCAGCAGGGTTTCCTGACACTCCTACGCCGTTTGGGCACGTCTGGCCAATGAGCTAGGTCAGGCCATATCACCAACCTCGGCATCGACCGGTGGAAAACAAGTGGATCACAAGATGATCTCATGGTTTGAAGCTGATGTCTTCGGTAGTTCGTGACGGGGTCCCCAGCGGCCCTTTCCCCAGGGCCGGCTGTTCGTCCCGAGCAGATTCTTGACGATCCCAGAGAGCCCGTCGAGGGCCCCCAAAAGGGCGAGAACGGCTAAAAAAACGTCCGTCGTGAGCCGTCGCGAATCGAGGTGTTCGTCCTCCTCCTCCTCCTCCTCCTCCTTCTCCTCCTCCTCCTCCTCCCTCCTCCTCCCTCCTCCTCCTCCTCCTCCTCCTCCTCCTCCTCCTCCTCCTCCTCCTCCTTCTCCTCCTCCTCCTCCTCCTCCTCCTCCTCCTCCTGCTCCTCCTGAGGGCCCACTTCCGCAGGACCCCATCTTTTCGGGGACGCACTGGCCCGGGGCGGGCCGCGCAGGCTCCTGCAGGATCCCGCAGGATCTCTCGCACGCAGGCCCTGGGGCGGTGCACCCCTGGCCCTGCAGGATCCTGCAAGATCAGGCGCCATGGCCGACCCCCGTGTGCACCGACCCCCGTCCATGGAGCCCCGACCTCCCAGACATCCGACGTCTCGATAGAGAGAGAGAGAGAGAGAGACACACACAAGCCCCCGACCTCCCGACCACTTTCCCGGCACAGGTGCTTCCTCCCGAGTCGTTTTGTTGGCGGTCCCCGGTGTGAAGGCCCCGAGAGACCAAAAACCGATTTTTGTCGACACGCCCGACGCCGGGGCTTTGCGGCGCCGGGGAGGGCGCGGAGCCGTCGGAGGCGGCGTCGGAGGATCGGACCGAACGAAAGGGGGGGATATAGGGAAAGCGGGGGGGGGTACAAAAGCTGCTGAATGCAGCCGGTTTCGGCCCCGCAGCCGGGCCCATGCCTCGATGCGTGGGCGCCTCCCGGCGCCAGGAGGCGCCGGGAAAGTCAGCTGCGTGGGCTGATTCTCAAACCCCCCCCTCTGCTACGTGAGCTGATTCGCCCGGCCCGAGAGGAGGGCGCGGCGCCGGAGGGCTGCGAGCTGGAGGTCCAGGCGCCGGCGGGCTGCTACGCCGCCGCCGCGAGCACGGGCCGCGGCGAGTACGAGGGGCCGCCCGCCGCAGGCGCGGCCGAGCTGGCGCTCGCCGAGGAGCGGCTGCACGCGAGGGGGCCCTTCGCTCGGGTGGCCTGGTGCGCGGCTCTCGGCCCAGACATGATCGCGCGGTTATATATATATATATATATACACACACATACATACATACATACATACATATACACATACACATGTGTATATATATATATATATATATATATATATATATATGCACAAACATGTACCTCTATCTATATATATATATATATACATAGCTATGTGTGTATATATACATAAAAAATATACAGACATATGCTTTACACAAAAGAAAAAACACGACGGAAAGTTTTTGGGCCATGTTCGGCTTGCGGGGGCATTGGCCGGGTCCTGGGGCCGTCAGAAAACAATTCGGGAGGAAAAACAGGCCCCGGGGAAAGGGTCGGGACTTCCAGGGACCGCGCATGGAAAAATCAGAACGTCGCATGTCTGGGGGGTGGTACCCTGAGATCTTGGCGTTGCATAGTGCTTCCGACCTCCGCGGAAGGCGCGGAAGAATTCATCAAAATTCATGGAAAACCTTGCGCCACGCAGGGAAACCCGAATAGATCATATCGAAAAAGGGGTGGGGGGTGAGGGAGGGCTGGTGCGCGGCTCTCGGGGGGGGTACCCTGAGATCTTGGCGGTGCAGCTTTATCGAGCCGCCGTGCGGTTGTTGTTGTTGTGGTTGTTGTTGTTGTGGTTGTTGTTGTTGTTTTTGTTGTTGTTGTGGTTGTTGTGGTTGTTGTTGCTGTTGCTGTTGCTGTTGTTGTTGTTGTTGTTGTTGTTGTTGTTGAACATTATTAATTCTAAAGAATAATTATTGTTGGGGCCCCTGGTGCACGGCCCCCCTGCGCCGCCTAGGCCGCAGCTACATTTTCATCATTTTCGTGAGGAAGCCTCAGGTAATACGATGTCATCAAGATCCGGTTGTTTTGTTGTAATCCGTTTTCCCTTGCAAAAAACACTATAAAATGACATTTCTTGTTCTAATATAATCAAATTTCAAGAATCCCTTGCAAAAAATAAGGTAAAGTGGACATTCGCGCGCGCAAGACGAAATCCTTCCAAAAGCTTAGTGTTCGGAGCGATTTTAACATAAAAACATCAAAAAACCAATGGTTTTTCAACAAAAAAATGTCAAAATCTCATCCCGCGCGCTCTTGCGGATTCGTAGGAAACCCAACACTTTTTAAACATTTCTGTCAAACGGGCTTTTGCGAGCAACTTTTTCGAACTTCTGCGACAACGGTTGCGCACCTGCCAGGGCCATCATCCCTGTCAAATAATACCATGCGGGACACATTCGTTTTTTCTTCGCGCGCGCACGCCGAAATCTCCAAAAACCATTGGGCTTCTTAAGAATTTTAGCACCGCGCATCATAAAATCACACGAATCGCACCGTAGGTCCTCGAAAAACACCTGCACGACTTTTCAAAATTTCTACCCGCGCGCGCTGTCCGAATCCTAAAAAAAACCAATGGTTTTCCAACATTTATGTTACATGAGCTCGCGCGAGCTACTTTCGCACGCTCTTGCAACGGGGTTCGCGCGCCTGCCAGGGGCCACAAGGCTTCACAACTTCTGTGGGTTAACAAGGCTTAACAACTTCTGTGGGTGTACGAACGTAGGCTTCACAACTTCTGTGGGTGTGTACTCCACGCCAGTGTAGTAGCCACGGTCGTCCGCAGGCCACGAAGTGAAGTGTCCGAACGTCATAGGGCGGGAAGCTGGGTGTGGGTGGTGGCGAAGAGTCGTGTGGATATTTGGTAGAGCTTGCACTGCCCCCCCACAAAGTGGGGGTATTGGCTGGCGTCGCATGAAAACCCTGGCACTGGTGAGAACACGGAGCGTTCGGGTAAAGTGATTGTTGTTGTTGTTGTTGTTGTTGTTGTTGTTGTTGTTGTTGTTGTTGTTGTTGTTGTTGTTGTTCGCCACGTCGGGGGGCCCGGGACCATCGCAGACCGATGCGGCTCGAAAAATGGCGGGGTGCTGGGGTCCAGGGCTCCGGTCGTGATTGTTGACGGCGTTCCAAAGTTTTCGCGACGTCGGATCCCAGGGTAAGGGATCCGCTTGCGCACAGACGCCCCCCCTCGCAGCTGGCCTCGACAGTCTGGTTGACCCAAAGGGGGTGTCCATCTGAAAGGGGGTGGTGCAATAGATCTGGTGCAATAGATTTGCGGGGTTGCAGTAGCTTCGGGGTGTGCAATGCGTTCTAGCACGCACATGTATTACCGGATTTTCGCGTGCCATACATTCAGAGCTGCTATACCATGCAAAACAGTTCACTGGCGCAATACATTTGCAATACTAGTTTGCCCCACATGTGTTGCGCCACCCCCTTTCAGCTGGACCCCCTTTGGGTCAACCTCAGACAGACTCCCCGAGTATCAGGAAGGAAAGAAACCCACAGACACAATTAATCGTCGATTCCCCAGAAAATATGGGAAAATATGGGAAGTGGGGGGGGAGACAGAAACACAGAAAATAGGGGAAAATATGGGGGATCATTTTATTTGTGTGTATTTATTTGTGTGTCCTGGGGCACCTTCACATATATTGCGCCACCCCCTTTCAGCTGGACCCCCTTTGGGTCAACCTCAGACAGACTCCCCGAGTAGCCCAGGGGCTGTCTCAACGCCTGGTATCGCTTCCGGCGGCGCCCCTGGGGCGCTCCGCGCGGTCCAAGGTTGGAGTGTTGAGATGGCCCAGGGTTGCTCGGGGCGTCTGATGAGGCCAGCCAGACCCAGACATGGTCGCGTCGTACAAAAGATCAGGGCGGCAAGTTGTTCGCTCTTTTCGGCCCCTGGGAGCCCTCGCCGCGCCCCAGGACCGCCAAAAAATGACTCAGGATGAAAAACCGGGCCCGGGGAAAGGGTCTGGACTTCGGGGGGCGCTGTCCTGAAATTAGCTCGGCGAAGGACCCAGCCATATGCAGTTGCGAGCACCGTCGTTGTATGCACCGCATTCGGAAGAGCTCCCTATACGGCCACGAACCGTGTGAGGGGTGTGCCAAAATTTGTCTGGTGGGCGCATGCGAAAGCAGCCACTGGGGCCGTCGGTGGAATTCCCTATGGGGCCACGAAACGCGTGAGGTGCTTGCCGAAATAGGTGCGGTGGGCGCATGCGAACGCAGCCACTGGGTCCGTCGGTGGAGCTCCCTATGGTGCCGCGAAATGTGTGAGCGGCGTGCCGAAATAGGCGCGGTGGGCGCATGCGAACGCAGCCACGGAACGTGTGAGGGGTGTGCCGAAATAGGTGTGCGTGACGCATGAGGCGGTGGCACTGGGACCGTCGGTGGAGCTCCCTATGGAGCCACGAAGCGTGTGAGGGGTGTGCCGAAATCTGCGTGGGTGACGCATGAGGCGGTGGCACTGGGGCCTTCGGTGGAGCTCCTTAGGGAGTCACGAAACGTGTGAGGGGTGTACCGAAAGGGGTGTGCACTGGTGCCTCCGGTGGAGCTCCCTCCCTCTGAGGCCACGAAACGTACAAGGGGTGTGCCCAAATGGGTGCGGGCGGTGGCACTGGGGCCTTCGGTGGAGCTTCCTGTGGGGCCACGAAACGTGTGAGGGGTATGCCGAAATGGCTGTGCGTGACGCATGCGGGCGGTGGCACTGGGGCCTTCGGTGGAGCTCCTTGTGGCGCCGCGAAACGTGTAAGGGGTGTGCCAAAATGGGTGTGCGTGGCACATGCCGGCTGTGGCACTGGGGCATTCGGTGGAGCTTCCTGTGGGGCCACGAAACGTGTGAGGGGTGTGCCGACATGGGTGTGCGTGACGCATGCGGGCGGTGTCACTAGGGCCTTCCGTGGAGCTCCCTGCAGGGCCACGAGACGTGTGAGGGGTGTGCCGACATGGTTGTGCGTGACGCATGCGGGCAGTGGCATTGGGGCCTTCGGTGGAGCTCCTTGTAAGGCCACGAGACGTGTGAGGGGTGTGCCGAAATGGGTGTGCGTGACGCATGCGGGCGGTGGCACTGGGGCCTTCGGTGGAGCTCCCTATGAGGCCACACAACGCATGAGGGGTGTGCCAAGTGGGTGTGCGTGGCACGTGCGGGCAGTGGCACTAGGGCCTTCCGTGGAGCTCCTCCTGTGGGGCCACGAAACGTGTGAGGGGTGTGCCGAAATTCGTGTGCGTGACGCATGCGAGCAGTGACATTGAGGCCTCCGGTGGAGCTCCCTATGGGGCCACGGAACGTGCGAGGGGTGTGCCGAAATCGGTGTGCGTGACGCATGCGGACCGTGCAGAAAGGAGGGGAGGAGGAAGGAAGGAAGGAACGAAGGAGGAACGCGGGGACCTTCTCTTCAAAACGAGGACCCAACACCACAGGATTGTTGGGAAAAATCAGGACGTCGCATGTTTGGGGAACTATATACGGTAGGTTCGCGTCGTGTCGACTGGCGGCGACCCCGCCGCCGGCGTTCAACGTTGAACGCCGCCAGCGACCCAGAATCGATCGGTGTTGAGCGATTTCACGTTTCGGAAGCGGCCGATCGTTCAAGGTGGAATGATCCGCGCGGTGTCAGGAGCCAACGCCGTGGTCGACACGACACGAACCTGCAACAGGGGGGCTGACTATGCGGCACCCGACGCCGTACCACGTGGAGGCGGAGGGGCTCAACCCCGGGCACGAAGGCCGCCCGCGTCGCATCGCACGCAGCGGCCCAGCAGGCCGCGCAGCACCGAAGGCCCCAAGTCCTGGCTCCGTGGGGCCACCGCCGCGTGCAGCCGCCGAGGAGGACGAGCTGGAGGCCTGGCTGCTGGGCCTGGACCAGGGGCGGGGCACTCAGCTGCCCTGGTACCCGAAGAACCTTTTTGGCGCTCCGCGCGGATTTCTTGGATCCGCGCTGGGCCCCCCCGGCGGCGCCTCCAGCGCCGCCCCTGGCGCGCGCTCCGCGCGCCAGGGAGGGGGTCCAGCGCAGATCCTGGAAATCCGCGCGGAGCGCCACAAATTTATGTTTATGCCGTTGTTCCTTCCTCGAGTCTTGATACCGCAACAAGTACCGTGTTCAGATCGTCCGTGTGCACACGCTGCATGTCGGCTCGGCGCGTGCTGGCCCCACGCTCTGGCGACCGTATACCGTGCCAGACCCGCGTTTCCAGTGCAGGTGTCAAGCTCCGTGTCAACACGCCACGGGCTCCGTGTTGCGTACCGGAGCGGCCAAGGCGGGGCAAGATGCTCCAGTACTTGGGCCCGCTGCGCGAGGAGTTCGGCAGCCTCATGGCCGTCGCCGCGGCCTACATCCCCGGCGGGGGCAACGGGCCGCCGCGCGGGTTCCTGGAGTCCGTGGAGCCCCTGATTTTCGATGTCCTGCAAGTCGTCTCGCTGGGCCACAGGCTTCGAGGAACAGAAAGTTCTGGGCCTCCCAGATGGGGTCGGAGCAGATGGGGTCGAAGGATTGCGCCGCATCGCTGATGCATCACCGACGCGTCGGCGATGCGGCTCGATGTGGAGCCCGATTTTCTCCTCGCCGACGTCGCCGAAGCATCGGCGATACATCGGCGACGCGCTGCAATCCTCCGACACCATCTACTCGGGCCCCATGTGGGACCTGGGAGGCCTTTGAAAGCGGCGTAAGCATTGACTGTCGGAGCTCCGCGCGGATTCCTCGTGTCGGCGCCCAGACCCCCCAGGCGGCGCCGGGCGGCGTTCTCCCTGGCGCGCTCCTCGCGCCAGGGGGAAGGGCTCCGGCGCCGATCCGAGAAATCCGCGCGGAGTTCCGAAGGCTCTCTGTGAGTAAGATTGTTCTGAAGCGCTAGGTGCATTTCAGTAGCGCTATCGTCTTTGGCGGACTCAAGCTGAACTCCAAGATAGGCTGCTCAACGGGTGACAGAGACTCTGGCGAGAAAATACCCCCATGCTTCTGCAATCACATGAAGGCTGGCATGTATAGAACGGCTGTTGGACGAATTCACAGAACCTGGCGCCCGTTTCGCAGTGGACGCTCTCCTCCCTCCCGTTGCCAGGTGCAGGCGAGCAGCCTTCGGAACAGCGACCCTTGCACCCTCCAGCCCGGGACGAACGCTCCGAAAGCTCATACGTTGGCCGCCGTTGTTGTTATTCATTGTTTCGCCGATCGGCATGGGCCCTGGGCCTCCCACCTTCCCCCCCTTCCATAGACCAGGTCTTGGCTGCGTTGGGCGGCTGCCTTTGGGCGACTGGTCAGGACCCCTCTCTCTCCCCAGTCTGCCTGCGCGACGGGCACAAGCAGGTCGAGCAAGCACCGGCCCCACCCTTCTGCCAAATGTCGACGCCCAGAACAAGAAAGCGCCCACTTGTTTTCAGTGGGGAAAAACACACACACAGACACAATTAGTCGTCGATTCCCCCGAAAATTTTGGAAAAGATGAGCAGTGGGGGGGAAGACGAAGCCCCAGAAAATATGGGAACATGTGTGTGGGGAATCCTGCTATCTGTGTCTATTGATTGGCGTGTCCCAGGGCCCCTTCCTGCCTCCCGTTCCGAGGCTGCTGCTGGCGCGCGGGATCGCGGAGCTGGCCGCCGCCGGCCTGGCCGAGGAGCAGGCCGCCGCCGGCGCTGGCGAGGGCGGCGGCTCCGCGGCCACGCCGCTGGGCGACGGCTGAGAGCCTGGGCGGTCGGTCACTCGCTGCAGGGGCGAAGCGTCCTGCCGTGCCTATTGCTTGGCATCGCTCGGACGTGTGCATGTTTTCTCGGCGAAAGCCATCGAGGACCATCCTGGACCATCGAGCAGGAATAAAAGCACGCGCGAAACCGAACAATGCACGGGAGATGGACGTCCGAGCGACGGCAAGATGGGGCCACCAAAGAATGTTCGAATATTCTCTCGTGGCTTGCACAGAAGGCTTATGTTGGACATCGGTTTTGTTCTAAGGATATGGATTTTGTCTTTACGGTCGGCGCCGCCGACCCAGAAGGACGACGACAACGACGACCACGTCGACGACCACGACGACAACGACAACGACGAGCTCATGACCCCGCCACAAGCTCGGGACATGGGGCGGGCGGCAGGGGGAGGAGGAGGAGGAGGAGGAGGAGGAGGAGGAGGAGGAGGAGGAGGAGGAGGAGGAGGAGGAGGAGGAGGAGGAGGGAGGAGGAGGAGGAGGAGGGAGGAGGGAGGAGGAGGAGGAGGGAGGGAGGAGGAGGGAGGCGGAGGAGGAGGAGGGGGAGGGGGAGGAGGCGGAGGAGGAAGCGGAGGAGGAGGGGGGGGGAGGGGGAGGAGGGGGAGGCGGAGGAGGAGGGGGAGGCGGAGGAGGAGGCAGAGGAGGAGGAGGGGGAGGGGGAGGGGGATCATATCCTGGCGGGCCTATAGGACTGCCGCGACGATTGGCCCCTGCTCAGGTCACGGCAGGAGCGCGCCGCGTCGACCTGGCGGCGGCCCCCGCGCGGGCGTTCCAGGCTGCACGCTGCGCGTGGCAGGGCCGCCCGCGACCCGATTCGGTGCGGCTCCGTCGGCCAGGGCCGCGAGTCCGATCTGATCCGATTCGGGGCTCAAGGGACAGGAGGAGGAGGAGGAGGAGGATCAGCAGCAGCAGGAGGAGGAGCGGGAGCGGGAGCGGGAGCAGGAGCAGGAGCAGGAGCGGGAGAAGCAGGAAGGGAGGGAGGGGAAGGAGGCAAGCTAGGTGCGATCGCGTCATATCTGACATCCTACCCCTCCCTCCCATCCCTTACCATGGCGCAGATCCCCTCTCTATTCGCACACTCGGATGTCGAGCAGGGCAATGATCCCGAAGGGTACGCGATGCATTGTAGAGCACGGCAGGGCATGGCGTAGAAGAGCACCGCGAAGCGTAGTATCAACCTAGCATTGCATTGCATGCCGTGGCATGGCACGGGAAATGACGCCAGCGCTGCAGTGGGAGCACGAGTCGAAACGAGCGGAAGCGCGGAAATGAGGCCAGCGCTGCAGCGGGAGCACGATTCGGAACGAGCGGAAGCACGCCAGAATCGGCCCGGGAGGCTTCCCGGGCGCCAGAAGCAGAAATTCAGCATTTTCGAAAGAAAATTGTGTACTGGAATGGCCTTTTTTCGGCGCCGCCTCGGAATTCGATTTTCCGGCGCCGGCCGGAACCGGCTCCGGACCCTGCCCGGGCGCCCGCCCGGGCGCCGGCTCGGGCGTCTGGCCCGGGCGCCGGCTCGGGCGCCGGCCTTGGCGTCGGAATCGGCCCAGGAGGCCTCCCGGGCGCCGGAAGCAGAAATTGAGCATATTCAAAAATGTGTATTAGAATGGCCTTTTTTCGGCGCCGCCTCGGAACTCCATTTTCCGGGGGCGGCCGGAACTGGCTCCGGACCCGGCGGCCCGAGCGCTGGCCCGGGCGCCGGCTCGGGCGTGCAGCCCAGGCGCCGGCGGAAATGATGCCAGCGCTGCAGCGGGAGCACGATTCGGAACGAGCGGGGCCCGAAAAATAAGGCCGGCGCCTCAGCGAGAGCAGCATTTTGGAAAAAAATGCAAGCGAAAACGTTATTCCGGGGAAACCTGTGTTTAAAAAAACAGTACGCGGGGGGGGGGGGGGGAACACTCCCAAGACGTCATCAGGGGAAGAGGGAGAATAGTATTCATATTAAGTAATTGTAGAAGGAGGAGGAGGAGGAGGAGGAGGAGGAGGAGGAGAAGGAGGAGAAGGAGGAGGAGGATGAGGAGGGGTTACAGTCCGCCCGCATGGTAAGGATGGACAACCTTCCTAAGGGTACCCGTGCATCCTTGCCCCTTCGGCCAGTCCTCAGCGACTTTCGCTGGCCAGCCTCGCTCCAAAGATGTGAATGTGGCCCTCCAAGGCCCTTGCACCCTTACCGTGCATCCTTATGATACGGGTCGACTGTAGTGCAAACCGAGGTCAGTCAGAGCGCCGATCTTGCAGGACCCTGCAGAGCCAGGGCTGCACTGGCCAGGGCTAGGGCGCAGGAGCCTGCAAGATCCTGCAGGATCGTGCAAAGCCTGCCTGACCCAGGTTTGGATTGACCCGGGCTTGGATTGACCCAGGTCAGTAGATCCCCGATCGATTCGGCTCAGTTCACCAGCATCCGCAGGGGCTAGCCGCAGCCTGGCGCTGCGATTCGATTCGGGACGATTCGTTGGCGATCCGATCCGTTTCCGATCAGATCCTCGATTCTGCGATGCGGTTCAGTTCAGTCATGTGGGGTCCGGAACTCTTCGACATCGAACGACCCGCGCTATGCGAAAGTTGCTGTCGTTCATGGTAGAACGAGCCACGCGGTGTCGAAAGCCGATGGTGTCGCCACGGCACGAGATTGCCGCTGGATGTTGGTGAGCACGACATTTTCATAGGGTAATCGCGCTCTGCCTCCCACAGAGGTTCTAGGTGCAAGAGGAGAGCGCCTTTATTTGAATGCACAACTCCACGGTCGAGCCTGCGAAGTTGTCGGCAGTGTGTGCGAGCCAGTCTCTCTCGTTGTCCTCCTTGTCACTCGACCTAGGCGTTCTTTGGATGCGCCTGCCCTGTAGCGTGACAGGTATGTAAAGTTCCCCTTCGGAGGGGGCGGTGTTCTTTTATTGTGCGGATATGTCTCTCCTCGTCGTTTGCTCCGGCTGCGAGGGAAAAAGCTTCGTGGGGAAGGAAAGTGTCATTTGCGCGGATACAGGCTCATCCTCGGGTCTGCTGTTCATTGTTGCGATCACGGATTAGGGGTCCAACACAGACATTGTTTCCGTCCGGACGAGTCGTCCTGTGCCGAGGGGACCCGCCAAAGAGGAGCGCAGGTGCCGAGACGGCCAGTCCACGGACAGGCCATCTTTGGCCGACTAGATGCCAAAATGCTATCATTTAAACTGTTTGATCGCAGGGGCAGCGTTAGAGGAGAATAGGCCCAGGAGGGGATGCATCGACCCCAAAATCACCCACTGATCGCCGATGGGGGCTAAATAGCTCACCCCGCCCAGGAACGCGCGGCATCGCCACCGGGGGCAGGTTGTTGATCTATCGGCGACGTATCGCAGATGCCAGGTCGATTTTGTCCCGCCCTGAGACAGTCCCCCCCCATGACGTAAAACAGGGCTAGGATCGGGATAAGTCGCTCCAGAGCGTTCCGGAACGCTCTCAGAGCGTTCCGGAACGCTCTGGAGCGGCCGCGGCGCCCAATACAGCCTCCAAACCCGCCGATTCTCAGAGATTTCGGGTTATCCCGATCCGATTTTGTCCCGATCTTTGCGTCGTTTTATAACGTCTTGCCATCTCGCCCTCCTGGACCGTATGGGGCAATACTGGCCCCCTTAGGGGGCAACACTGGGCGCCTCGTGTGGCCCTGGGGTGACCGTCTCCTGGGCGCGGCGGCGAGCGGCACGCCCCTCCGAAAGGGCCTCTGGGAAGCGTCTGGCGGTGACCCGAGGCGGCTTCAGAATTTGGTGCGCCAGGCACGCCTCCCGTAGAGCTTAGGCGATGCTTAAGAAAACTTAAGCTTTCGGCCAGAGTCTCGATGATTCTTGATGTTTCCATGTAAATCCGAAGATGTTAATAGAAATTGTGGGTGTTATTCAAGTTCTGAGACCATGAATTTCTTAACCCATGATTTCTTAAGCATTTCGAAGGGTGTAGATCGAGAGGGGGCGGCGGATCGAAGACGCCTGCGGCCCATCTCGGCGGCACGCCCAGGAGGCGAAAGTGAGAGGGGGCAGGCCTTCTCAGAAGACGGCAGGGGGCTTCACAGAAGCACTTGCGCCTTCTGACAAGCCGCCTGCGGTTTCGGAAGAGGCCCGCCCCCTCTCACCCCCCCCCTGGGCTCGCCGCCGAGTCGAGAGGGGATGGAGGAGCGAAGGCACCCTATGGCCCACCACCGCCGCCCCCCGGCCTTCTGGAAACGCCTGTGTGGCCGAACAGCAGGCCAAAGTTTGGCCAAGCCGTTGGACTACGTTTTCCCCGAGCCGTTGTGGAAACTCTTGGAGAAAGACTTGAGAGAGGAAGAGGAGGAGGAGGCGGAGGAGGAGGAGGAGGAGAGGAGGAGGAAGGTGAAGGAGGACACGGAGGATGGGATGAGGAGGAGGCATCTTGGGCGGTCTTGGGGGTGCTTTCGAAGCCTGTTGAGCCTTCTTTGGCGAATTTCGGGCCATCTTGGATATAGCTTGGCCGTCTTAGGCGCGTCTTCGGACAGTCTCAGGGGCCAGCTGGAGTCATCTTCAACAGAAACGCCCATGGGATGAGACATTTCCAGGTTACTGGCGGGATGCGCTTGCGGCGGTCATCGGGAACGCCTTGGAAGGGCCAAGAGAGCAAGAAGGTTTTGCACGCCAAGCACCCCTCCGATCGGCTACGGAGGCGGTGGATCTACTGGCTCTCGGCCTTCCCGCCGCCATGCTTGCGTCGTTGGCCAGAGGCCTCCTGGAGTGGGGGCCTCCTGGCCACGTCCTGGGGGCCTTATGAGGTCCTCTTGGGGACCTGCTGGCGGTCGCCATCTGGTGGGAGGGGGTCCTACGGTGTTGTTCGGTGACGCTGAAGCTGCTGCTGATGGTGATGATGAGGATGATGATGACGATGACGATAACGATGATGATGCTGATGATGATGATGATGCTGATGCTGATGCTGATGGTGATGATATGTTGATGTTGCTGATGGTGATGATGATGACATGCTCATGATGATGATGATGATTTTTCTGATGGTTGTGATGGTGATGATGATAGTGATCATGATGATGGTGATGATGATTGAGACTATGAAATGTATGATGATACTGATCATGGTGATGATGATGATGATGATGATGATGATGATGACGATGATGATGGTGATGGTGAGGGTGAGGGTGAAAGGGGTGGTGAGGATGAGGATGACGATGAGGATGAGGATGAGGATGACGATGAGGATGAGGATGAGGATAAAGACGATGATGCTGACGACCACAGTGACGCTGGCTGGTGATGATGATGACGGTGGTGATGGTGATGATGATGGTGATGTGATGATGATGGTGATGGTGATGATGATGATGATGATGATGATGATGATGATGATGATGATGATGATGATGATGATGATGATGATGATGATGAGCATGATGAACATGATGGAGGGCCTCGTGGGGGCTCCCCGGGGGCCTTGTCGGTCCTCTGTGAGACCGTCTGAGCCGTCTCAGGGAGGCTCTGGCGTCTTCAGGGGCCGTCGCGGAGACTTCTCCGAGCCGCCTTGGAGCCCTCTCGGGGCGCTGGGGGGCCGCCGTGGAAGTCTCTTGTGTTGCGTCTCGGGGCCGTCTTGGAGGTTTGTTGGGCCATTCGGGGGCCCTCCTCCTCCTCCTCCTCCTCCTCCTCCTCCTTCTCCTCCTCCTCCTCCTCCTCCTCCTCCTCCACCTTCTCTCCCTCCTTCTCCTCTTCCTCCTTCTTCTCCTCCTCCTACTCATCCTCCTCCTTCTCCACCTCCTCCTCCTCCTCCTCCTCCCTCTCAGGCCGAATTGGGGTCCTTCTTCGGGGCCTCTCGGGCCGGTTTGGGGTCATCCTGGAGGCGTCCTGGGTCTTCTGGGCTGGCAGAAGCCAGGAAGCAGGTAGAACAGATATGTGTTTGTTTGGATGGGTCCCTGCTGGCCCTGGTCAATGTTGGGGGCCTCTCGAGCCGTCTTGAGGCCATCTTGGACCGCGTTGGGGCAATTTTAGCCGTCTTGAGGCCACCTTCGGCCGTGTGGAAGCATGATTGGGGCCATGATGGGCCGTCTGGATGCCATTCTGGGGCCCCATAAGACCCCACAGGGTTGGGAATCCGAGCTGCTAGTGGAGTTGCTCTCAGGAGGGCAGAATAAGCATTGACACGAATAATCGCAGATTTCCAGCAAAATACCGATGGAAATACTGGAAGTGGCGAGGAAGACGGCAACCCACGAAATATTGCATGACAGAGACGTCCTGGCAGCTGTGTCGATTTGTGCGGCTCTCCCTGGGCCCTTTTGTACTCCTGTCGGCGGCGCGCCCGGCAGAGGCGAGAAGGAGCAGCCCTTCTCAGGAGACGGTGGGGCTTCTCAGAAGTCCCCGACGTCCTCCTCAGAGGCGGTACCGAACACTGCAGCGACGAGCAAGGAATGCATCCAGTCTTTTAGCGGGCACGGCGGTACCATTCAGGGCCTTAGGTGCTGGTGTTGCGGTTGCACCCGCCACACGTGGACACCCCACCTGTGGAACTAGTTTAGTCCGTAACAGCTCCCATGTCGTCGTAAAAAAAAAACCCTTGAGCCCTCTGGGAAGGCCCGCCCCTCCTCGCTTGCCCCCCCCCCCCCCGGGCTCGCCGCCGCTCCATGTCACCCGCCTCCCCCCCGCTGCCCGAGCTTCTCGCACGGCCAGGGCCCACCCAGCGGCCGCGGAGCTCGCACGCCGACGGGGGCCCGGCGTGGTGGTGCCCTGCGTGCCCCCGCCAGCCCATCGAGAAGCTCGGAGCCCCCACAGGGGGGCCCTCCTGGTGGCTGCTGGGGGGGATCCCTGGGGTGGTCTTCGGGGCGCTGCGGGGCCCATCTTGGAGGCCATCGAGCAACAAAAGAGGGCAGCACAAATCAGGGTCTCTTCCCGTCGGAGCCCGACGAATCATTTCTTGGGTCTTTCTGGGGGCGCTCTCGTGGGCGATCTTCCCATCTTGAGACATCAGAAGCCCATCGGAAGCGAAGAGGCGAGAGGACCACAATCAATACAGACTTCTAGGTGTTTGATCCATGTGGGCCTCTCGATTGTATCCTTGGGGGGCTCAGGGGGGAGCAACATGGAGCAGTCTCTGGGCCGTCTTGGGGCCTCCTAGAGGCATGCTGGAGGCCAATTTGGACAATGTTGCGCCATTTTGGCAAATTTGATGCATCTGAGACAATCTTGGAGCCATCGTAGCCCCAAATGTTCCCAAGGATGCCCCCGAGAGGCCAAAATCCTTCAGTCACCGTTGGTTGTTCCATGGTTCTGGCCTTGAGCGAAGGGGCGGCAATAACTGGGACATCCAGTCGGAGCCTGAACGATCGCATCTGCGGGCCCTCTTGGGACACTCTTGGGTGCTCATGGATCTGTCTTGAAGCCACTACGGGTCCTTATTGGGATTCTCTTGGGCGATATAGGATCCATCCTGAGGCTTCGAAAGCCCATCGGGAGCGAAAAGGACAATTGGAAAGCGTTCGGTGTTTTGAAGATAAGGGCATCTCGTACCCCTGGAAAGATCCGAAACGACTTGGGGCGGTGTTGGGACCTCCTGGAGGCATGCTGGAAGCCACCTTTTGTCAACGCGGGCTGTTTTGTTCCACTTTGGAGCCCACCTTGAGCTGCCTGAAGCCGTTGAGGGTCCATCTTGGGCCAAAAAGAACCCTCGACGACTCGCGCCGCCGCGCACCCAAGGGACTGGGAGGCGTGGGAGCAACCCCCTTCCCAGAAGGGGAAGAAGACGGCTGGAAAAGAAATCTGTCGAAATCACCAACGCCGAAAGTGTTTGTGAGACTGGAGCAAGCGAAAAAACAAGTTCAAAGCAAGGCAAAGGCAAGCTGGAGGCAAGCCACACGTAGCTACACGACAAGCTACGCGCACATGCAGGCTAGTTCAGACAAGCGCGAGTAAATATTGAGTTTGGCTGAACACGGTCAGGCTCACGGCAAATAGAAACAAGAAATGCGGGAGGGGTAACAGGCAGGCCAAAATGAAGCTTGGACTTAGCCTAGAAGCAAGCCAAACGC